CTGATCGTGTCAATAGAAAATGGGTCCTAGTTTGAGATGCTAGATCAATAGATGAAGTATTAAGACTTCTCAGTTGTGGTAGTTGTCAGTCAGTCAGTCAGATGCAACGTAGAACTTTGTACATAAGTACATCAGTTCATGTCGCCATACCACATCAGCACAGAGATATAATTGTCAATTCAAATCCAATAGTAGAAGAGGTAGTAAAGGTATTAGACGTAATCGGAGAGGTAAGGATCAGAAGATATTATTCAAGAAGTATGATTCAGTGAGAAAAGTTTAGAAAGTCAAAACTAGAGGTGTTGAATAACCCAGAAGATTATTATTTGAGAGAACACAAAGAGTGAATGAACCTGAGCCATTGCGAACGATTTTGAGCCATGTCATTTAAGGTCTCTATCCATCGATTATTATCATCTCGCGGACCCCAACCAGGTAGTCGACAACTACCGACATGGCTAAGTCCACTTTTCAATGACTTCATGGATTTCTGCCATGTTTTGGTCTGGCCACCCCTAACTTTCTTCCAATCTATTCCTACACTACAAAACAAAGTTCGTCGAGGCAGTCGGTGGTTGTGCATACGCAACACATGTCCCAACCACCTCAACTGATGAAGTTTCACCACTTCATCTATTGATCTGCCATCTTTGCCTAGCACCCGTTTCCTAATAACAGCATTGCTTACTCGGTTGTCCCACGGTATACCAGCAATGCTTCGAAGACACCTATGATCGAAAACCAATGACCTACGAATATCTTCTACTCTCATTGGCCATGTTTCACAGCCATAAAGTAAGACGGAGCGAACCACTGCCCAGTACACTCGTCCTTTAGTCAGCAAACGGATATCTCGCCTACACCATAAGTGACACAGGTTGGCAAAAGCCAATCGAGCCTTCTGTATCCGTGCCGAGATTTCGTCAGTCACCAGGCCATCAGCACTGATGAGACTCCCAAGATAAGTGAAGCGGTCTACACGTTCGACCACTTCACTCCCTATCACTAGTTCAGGTGCCGATGCAACCCAATCTTGAAGCAACATTTTTCATTTCGAGGGTGAGAACCGCATCCCGAACATGCTCGCATTGTTGCTTTGGGTAGTCAGAAGACTCTGCATTTTGTCAGCGTCTTCACCAAGTAGAACTATGTCATCGGCATATTGTAAGTCAATAAGCGAGCCACCTGGTAAAAGGTCTACTCCAGAAAATTCAGAAAAGGATAAGGTTATTTCTAGGAGCATGTGTTGTGGTAGTTGAGACATGCCTGACCACTGACTGCCTCATCGAGCTATGTGTTGTGGTGTAGGAATTGGTTGGAAGAAAGCTAGAAACGACCAATTCAAAACATGGCACAAGTCCATGAAGTCATTGACAAGTGAACTGAGTCATGTTGGTAGGTGTCGACTACCTGGTTGGGGTCCGCGAGATGATAGTTAGAAACCTTGAACAACAACATGGCTGAAAATCGTCCTCTGAAATCCTAACCTAGTTGAAAGACAGACAGATACAACGCAGAACTTCGTACGTAAGTACATTAGTTCAGGTTGCCATACCACATCAGCACAGAGAAGTAACTGTCAGTTCAAATCCAAGAGTGCTAGCGATAGTAGAAGTATTAGCAGTAGTAATGGAGAAGATTAGGGAGCGAAGAACCTTGTTGAAAATTTCTAGGAGCATATTAGTCAACCTTTTTGTGCTACCTAGTAAGTAGATCATCTCATAATTTCGACTACCTCTGTGTATAAAAAAAATATAACTAACCTTGATTCATGATATTATTTAAATTAATTGAAAAGTTCCCACTTTTTCATTTGTTTAACAATTTCTATGATTATGTAATAAAAAGATTTGTTTCATTTGAGATATATTTCATAATCTGTCTTGCTCTTGTCATCAGTGTAAATTTAGGAATGATGCGTTGTAAAAATTTACTAAAGTTGTCATAATTACAAAAATTTGTGTTTCTCTAGCTAGTCAGTCTTCTACAGGATGAGGTCGCTAACCCCATGCCCAACCCTATCGTTTTATCCGGGATTGGGACCGACATTATGCCCAAACGGGCTTCAAGTTGAGCTTGGTATAATACCTTAAACTTACTGAAATAGCTGTCATACATAAATTAGCCTTTTGTGATCTGTAAATTAGGAACCTCGAAATTGTTGAGCAGTAGTATGAAATATACTGATGATCTTGAGTGGACTAGTTATAATAATATCTCTTACTCTAAATCTCAATTTCTAGTTTGTAAACAGTACTATAAATGTTTTCAGTTCGTGGCGAACACCTTGTCACATGATAACCCTAACATTATAGCACTAACCCGACTTCTAATCGATGATGAACTCAGCCTTTTCCTACTGCTACAAGAAATAATCCGACATGTGCGAGTTGATAATTTTATCAGTTCAAAACTATTAATTCATTGATATTTAAGGACTTTCAGCGGTTGATTGATTTATAACTAGGCAGTGTTTCTCGACTGACTGACAAGCCGCTGAAGGTTGTCAGTATATGATACTTTTATTGACAGATTTGATAAATGATATCAATGTGTCCGATTAATAGTTTCTCATGTGATTAGGTAATTGACATGAACTCTCAAGTAAGCTATTACTGACTACTACTGTGGTGTGAGCTACTTATAAGTAGTATTATATGACGTGAGTGTCAACGTAATGTCTGGCAGCAGAAGATGGGGAAAGATCAAGAAAGGAAGAGTTAGAAAACAATGGAATTTGTATGAAACGCATGAATAGGGACAATGGATTGATGTTTTGCAACAGGAACAGTACAGTTCGATGTGATGATGAACTGATATTTTGAAAATGAACGATTTACGATATGGTTTTCCGATTTTACTGAGTAACTCTGTAATTTTCGTTAAATATAATCCGGTTGCCCCACCTGTGTTCTCGTTCACTACACTACCATCACGATACTTTTCAATTGTGAATAGAGATTTTCTACCAAGAAAATTAACATGCTTATTATTATATACAACACATATTAAACACTGTTAAAATTCATCATGTCATTTTCTCTATTTGTATTTCTTCGGTACAGATCAAGTTTAACATCTGAAAATGCTACTAAAGAACAAACTTCAGACAATGTAAAACAGTCTATTGAAAATTTAAAAAATCTTTCATCCAATGAATTATATTCTACCATGAGAGGTCCACATTTGGATACATTATTTCGTTGTTGGCCAACTGAACATATTTCAGACTGTATGATGTTTTATATCTTATTATTATTTTAACTTTTTGAAATCCTGTTTACCTTATTTCACATTGCTAATGATTGCTGGAAGTTACGGTATATTCATTCACGAAACACATTTTAAACTGTAATTTATATTTCAGAAAGATTTTATCGACTTAACTTCAGTTTACATCGAAGAAACAACCACTTTTGTAATCTTTGTATTAAGTAACAGCAAAAATATCCTAGGCCAGTAACGAATTTACGAAGAGCAGGAAAGTCAATCAGTTACAACGTAGAACTTCTTACGTACGTACGTACGTACGTAAGAAAGGCATGAAAATTGCCTACCAATTGATCACAAAATGATATTTTGTTAAGGAATTGTATGATTGATTCACTGATGATGGAGTTCATATTTTGCAAGAATTTATTTCCTGTTCACGATTATTAGTTTTCTTTTCATTTACTGAAATATGATACCTTGGAATAGTAGTAGTCGAAGTAGACTAGGAACTACTGCCAACCCTTTTTACTTAACAGAGAGAATAGTTGAGACTGTTTGTTATTTGTGAGGGATACAAAGCAGAAATTACAGTGTTTATTTGCTTTATTCTTGTGTTTAACTAAACAAGTATTATGAGAAAAAGTGGTTGACGAAATCAGTCTACAAAGTTATTTACTATACGAATTCTGTGTTGAACCCAATCTCTACTGAATTTTGTAGACAAACCTTTCATTGTTGCTACTCAAATCCGATTATCCATATTACCCCCATATTAGTAAAAATAAGAAGACGTGATATCAAGTAGAACCTGTATTCTACGAGCATCCAGAAAGTACGAGGTCCAAATCCAGAAAAGAATCGGGATCCCGGAGTACGGATCCGGGACCGAGCCCTGGTCGTGGTCATAAAGTGTTACAGATAATGCGTATTTATACATTTTGGTCGAATAGGAAACAGCATCGAATTTTTTGGCATTGACAGATAGTAACATTTGAAGTGACATTTCTAGTCAGGACAACCAATAGGAAGTAACATTTGAAATGACATTGGCAGTCCGGATGACCGATAAGAGACAACATTGAAGTATTTGACTTTGACAGTTAAAACTACCATAATTTTGACCAATAATTCTATTAGGATATTGGATGAATATCCTAACAGTGGACGGGTTGATGAAAAGTGATAAATATGTGATCAATAATGTGAAATTTAGGGTCAATGATATATGATGAAATAGTGTGAATTAGACTGATATTTCTAAACATAAGCTTGAGAAAGTTGAATCTATAAACCATAGCCAAATACTCACAACTGGGGTTTTTGATTATGTTACGCCTGCACGTAACAAGTCATTTTGATATGTGCTTGAACTATTACGAGTTTACCTAGTCGGAAAACGAGAGCGAGGATTGAGGATCCGGCGACACGACATGCTACTCAAATCCGATTATCCCAACCCCCCATATTTAGTAAAAAATAAGACTTGAATGTGAAGTAGAGCCTGTATTCTACAAGCATCCAGATAGTACGAGGTCCGAATCCAGAAGAGAATCAGGATCCGGGACCGGGTCCTGGTCCTGGACCTGGTCATAAAACGTTACAGATCATGCGAAATTAAACATTTTGGTCGAATAGGAAACAGCATCGAAGTGTGTGACATTGACAGTTAAGACGACCAATAGGAAGCAACATTTGAAGTGACATTGATAGTCAGGACAACCAATAAGAAACAACATTGGAACACGTGACACTGATATCTAGGACGACCATAAAATTGACCAGTAGGAATTAACCAAAAGGAATTGACCAATAATTGTCTTAGGAAATGGCATGAATATCTTAACAGATTATTATTATTATTAGTTTAAACTTCCGTTCGATAAGATCGATTTAACTGTCCATCTCTAGGCAGGCGTTTTCCACTACTTTATGATAGGCTAAAATGATGTCAACTCAATAAAGTGTGACACTCATTGTATGCTATATTTATAACATGTTGCCTTCAATGAAAATTTATGGTGAAAATTATGTTATGCTTTGCTTGAACTCTTGTCCATTCAAATAGGAAAAAAACTATCACTCTTATTTTATTTTCAATTGAGAAATGTCCATCCATTTTCTTTAAATTATTATTATTATTATTGTAATATTGTTTTGTTTATTTCTATTTCAGTAATTGACATCACGAAAAAACTTTCGACAGTTGGTCTAAATTCTGTCAGTTTACAATTGGCTGGTGTTTTAATTAATCGAGGATTGAATGATTTGATTCCTACTGTATTGGAGGTAAGTTAATTGGTTTACAACTATTAATGACTTGCAATAAAAGTCATATTAAATGTTAAAAATCTGTTTAAAATCAAGTATAATTAATATGTACGATCAAAGTATCATATATTGACCAAGTTCAGAGTCTTATCAGACAGTCAGTCGAGAAACACTGCCTAGTTATAAATCAATCAGTAGCAAAATGTTGCTTCAAGACTGAGTCGCATCGGCACTTGAACTAGTGATAGAGAGTGAATTAGTCGAGCGTGTTGATCACTTCAGTTATCTAGGGAGTCTCATCATCGCTGTTAGCCTGGTGACTGACGTAATCTCAGCGCAGATACAGAAAGCTCCATTTGCTTTTGCCAATTTACACCGTTTATGGCGTAGGCGAGATATCCGTTCGCTAACCAAAGGACGGCTGTACTGCGTAGCAGTTCGCTCGGCGAGACGAAAGTCACCAATGGTTAGAGACCTTGAACGACATGGCTCAAAATCGTTTGCAATGGCGCAGGTGCATCCACTCTCTGAGCTCTTTCAAATCCTAATCTTCTGGATTCGTCAATACCTCTACCTTTGTCTTTCTAACCTTATTTCAACTAATTATACTTCTTGAATAATATCTTCAAACCCTAGTCTTCTTCATTTACCAATAATACCTCCTCTACTATCTTTATCACTATGTGATTTGATTTGACATTTGCGTCTCTGTGCTAATGTGGTATGGCAACCTGAACTTATGTACATTCGTACGGAGTTCTACGTTGCAA